CGTAAATACAACTCAGTGCCCTTGAATCACTTTAGCCTCGAGAAAACAAGATGGTAGCAAGATAAATGTTTAATTCCCCATTGTTGTTGGATGATGTATTTGGTTTTTACAGGTTATGTTTACGTAATAATCTGTTTCCGTTGCTTCTATGTTCCGTATCGGGCAATAAAATTGTAGAGTTCCATTATTGGGGCCTTTTCCAATCGTTCGGGAACTATTCGCTCTATGAAATTTCTCCAGGGACTATTTTTATGGGGCAGGGATTGCCTGTACTTATCACTGCGCAATACATCACACATTCTGTCTTATGGTCTTGGCGTACCTATGTATTCAGTGGCTGGCGTTCGACGACCACGATTATCGTTTTCACCTCTTTCAAATCCGAAAGCTCCTGAAACAAACGCATCTTATACCACGTGACGTAAAGAAAATTACGGTTTTTAAACAAATGACAATAATTAACGGCTAAACGGATGTAAAAGAAAATCATGTAAGTTGTTCAGAACAAGTAACATGTCTCACAGAACAATGCCTTCTATTTCAATTGTTGCGTCATCCGATACTTAAGATATTGATGGTAATGTTAACATAACTGATACTTTAAAAGATATTGATGGTAATGTTAACATAACAATGCCTGCTTTTAATATTCAGAATGGAAAAGATTTTTCTGCGGAAACAATCAACTTAACTGAATAAATCTTTCTGTACTCAGATGCGTTATATATAACTTACATGTTATTCAAATCCGCCGAGACGTTCATTGTTACAAATGTTTAAAATAAACTGTATTTTTTTTGCGTCATCCGATATTTGCGGTGATTTCTACGACACATCTATAAGCTATGCTACCTACCAGACCGATTTCGATTAAACTCGGTATGGTAGGTAGGACGCTGTTTCTTGCGGACAGAGCTGGACAAGACGAAACTAGAAGGCTATTTCCTAAATATGTTACAAAACGAACCCGGAACGAAGTTCTCAGACTTAAAAGGCTAAAATTGGGTCAAGATACTGCTTTAGGTTTTTAAGCCTGAAATAACAAAACACTCGAAAGACCGAGACGTAAATGGAAGTATAATATTAAAAAGCATGCTGATGCTAACAATATATTCCTTCAAATGCATTTTAAGACAATCAGGTGCAATACATTACTTCAAATGCATTTTAAGACAATCAGGTACCGTATGTTACTTCTAGAACTTCATGTTTAGCGTAATGTCTCATAATCCTTTAATAATAACATCTATTTCAATTATCACCTAACCTAACAAATATAATTAATGTCATTGAACAGTCCTTCTTCAGAAACGAAATGTACACTCAGTCAAGAATTTTACAAGACTCGAAGGTTCACACTGGGAACTAGTTTACCACTCGCCATATCTGATCGCCTTTGTTTTTTTGAATATAATTATTAACACAGTTGTGTAAACCTGAATAATCCAAATTTTGTATATTGAGGATCTCTCCATTGCCATCCAGTTCTTCTGGACGATTATCTGCAGCTGTAGCCATGTTGAAAGCTTAAATATCTTCGTATTCTTTAACAACCAACACCTTTAGCAAGAAGATATTGTTTAAAACAATTTTTCTTCTTACATATTTACACGCTAATTATATATTTCAAATGACACACAACCACCGGTTTAATCCTTCAAATTGTTGCCAATGCAATAAGTCAGACTTTTGTTATAAGTTCGACCTTACACCTAACGAGATAAGTTACGTATAATCTACAGAAAGCAATCTGAGATAAGGTCTGCCATGTTTCAAAACCTTCACTGTAATATGTTGCCTGACAATGCCGAAAATAAATAACCTATCCTTTCATTCAACAGGCAAAGAATACAATCTATCGTTCTGTCCGATCAACAAGTTAGCAGATTAAGCTTCATATCGCACTATCTTATCACCTGAATACGTTTTATCTCTCATGTGAAGTGTTTCATCACTAACACCAAACGTGCTTAAAAAACTGATCTACATTCTTTTGAAACTGTTGTTCTTGTGCAGTAGAAATTTTCGAATTACGAGTTACATCTGGCGAAACAATTGCAGCGGTTGGGAGGCGTGGAGAGGGGGAAGGCGTGCGAGCGCTGCGCCGGGACAGTAGATGACGTCATGACAGGGGTTCTTCCAGGTGGTTGTGCTGTCTGGTGGGTTCCTCGAGCCAGTCTAGCGTCCATTATTGTTCTCAAATCTCAACCAAAGTCGTCACGTGCACGTGAATTTTAGTAAAACTCCCTAGTATAAAATTATATTAAAATCCGTTCGGTGGGCGTATTTATAAAACTCGAAACAATGGTTCCTTTCTATGGACGCCAGAATTTGTCCAGTAAAATGTAAGATTTTAAAATATGAAATTTGAAGTTCTCATGGCGGCGGAGATGTCCACATGGGTCTTCCGGGTTGTCATGCCATGTAGATTTATAGGTACATACTGCCTCCATCTTCAGGGCCGAAGTCGAGGCAGTACGTTCTTCCAAAAATGTTAGCATCTACCTAGAAGTCTGATCACAGCATAACACCCCCAGAAAATTAACATGGGCAAGATTTTAGAAATTTCCAATATTGTGGGGGTATACTTTTCGATTGTCGCTGTAGTCACAACAACATTTTCTGGAATTGTGTTATGGGATTTGAAGAAAACACAGATTTTTGTAGACTTTAGCTAAATGAAGAAATTACGAACAAATTCCAACAGTAACAAAATTATTAGGTAAAGACACTCATTAATAGGGACAGCTGGAAAAAAGAAATATGGCCCCCACAGAAAAGAAGCAATTCAAAATTGAACAAGGAAGAGAGTTCAGGAGGCGTTTTTCTGACTCAAAGACACAAAATACATTACGGCCAGTGCACATTAATACAAGTTCATGTTCAATTAACTGGAAATGAAGTTGCGTATGAATATTATGCTACAGCTTAAACCGGATCAAATGTTTACATACCTTGGACAAAACAGGTGACTGCATTCAAACTGCTTTCTCGTCCCGTTCTCCGGACATTCACGTGACTACGATTTGAAACATCGCTGGACACCATTTTAATCACAATGTCTTTATAAGCTCTTTCACGAGCGTCTTTGTTTTTGCACACAACCGATGTTTTCCACTAACATTTCTGCGAAGAATATAATCGCGTAAACTTTGCGTTCTCTGCTTCCGAAACCCGGCCATTTTTCTTTCCACTCGGACTGTCTAAGCCTTTAAAGAACACACAAAAATGAACACAAATCGAAATTCGGCCAATCCGCTGCAGCTACCATCCAAAGTCGCTCGTAACCCTGATGACGGAGGCAGCGAGCACGTCTGAAATGTTGGTAAACTTCAACCAGATCACATGGTTCAACAACCTAGAAGGCAGCCGTATTAAAAGAGGTTACGGACATAAATTAGAGTTAATTCATTCCGAATAGTTGGCATTAATACACGCTCTCTTCCAGTGAAAATGAAACGTGAGCTCAAATTAACGCAAACCTCGCTTTAGTGGCGATTGCAAAATTAAAATAATTGGGGGAAAAAGGTAAAAAGATACCGACGTTATAAGATGCGTAAAGTTATTTCTCACTATGAAGGAAGAAATTTATTAACGCAGTTTTTGAAACGGAGGAAGTTTTGTACTTCAGACGCTAGACGTAAAAGACTTACAATATAAAGAAAAAAATAAATGCTAATGATATTAGCGGTCAAAAACATTTTTTGTCTGTAATATAAAAATTGCGACATCTTTTATGCTTTTCTGTTTCACTGGAGAATATTAAATTTATAATTATTTTTATTTACGTCGACAGTGATGCTCATGGCACAAAGGCAATATTTGTGACGTACGATGCTCATCGCTGGTGATATCAATTTATAAAATAAAAGAATGTTAAAATTGTAAATCTGCATCAATACAAGGAAATTCAGATGAAATTTGTGGGGAGAAAGATGATCTTCAAACAGAGTCGACCGACAGGACAGACAACTAGATGCGTGACCAGATATTCCGACAATAAGATGACATCACCACTGTTTGCACCTCGAGGTACGTCCAAGCACAAAAAGCCGACAAATGCAGAAAAAAAAACAGGGGTGTTCATAATTCACTGGTGAAACAACTAGTAAGACCTAACGTGTCGCACTTTGCACCCGGTACCACTCTATGAATCTTCTTCCTCTGTAACCAGCTCGACCGAATGTTAACGTTCCTGTTTTTGACATATCTGAAACGCAGGACGCGCGGTTTACGTTCCCTGCCGGCGAATCAATTTAAAGCAGTCAGAATTATTTCTCGCAACAATTTTGAAGCGTGAAAGTCATCCATAAAATTACAAAATGTTAAAAAAATATGTTTATGGACTCTTTCAAATATTTGCCGACTACCTGTAGATCTCTTCACGTAGATAATTTTTTTGCACACGGAACGATAATAAATATGAACAATAATGGATTAGGAACCGACACACCTCATATCAAGAACCGCTTCATAACTGGAATTAACGTAGAGACGACAGAAAATTAAGAAAAACTAACGACGAAATCATAAATTCAGCTCTTGGAAAATTTTTCAAAACTTTAAACATAAAATATTAATTATAAATACAGTAGACTTAAGATACAGCGTTTAATCGCCAATGTGTGAAGTGAGTGCGGAACAAATACAATTTACAGTCCGTAAATTTATACATAAATTCCTACACATCATTAAGAGTTTGTAAGACATCATAAAACAATTTTTACAAATTATTAGTTGTATATTGATGGTTAGAAATATATACATTTAACAGACGACGCAGACAAAATAAATATTAAAATGATTGTATAACAACGCGTCCACAGACGCAAAATTCTTGACAAATCGCAACTTAACGTCTCACCTCCTCTACATATTCAATAAAATATACGCAGAAGTTCCGACTCACACTTTCTTTCACTTTCCTCCCGATCACGCAAGGAATTTCCGGAATGACTGCAGTACGATGGCAATGTTTGGCGAGTTACGAAACGAAGTCGCAGTGTCCATTATTTCGGCGTATTACAATTTTCTGAATTCTTTCTTTTGGTTTTATACTCTAACTTTTTAAATTTATCGTAACTATTTTACTAGCATATAAAACGCGCTTACAAACAAAACTGTTTACACTTTGGACACCAACGCTGAGCGCGTTTCGACCTCAAGACGTCATCAATGTCCTTCGAAGTGTAAACAGTTTTGTTTGTAAGCGTGTTTTATATTCCAGTGCGCTACACGGTACGCAAGGTTTTAAGATTATTTCACTAAAATTTTATATATTCTTAACTTTAATTGTAATAGCAAAAATCTGTACTAGCGACAGCATTTGAACTTAAGTGCCCAACTGCGTAAGTACATCATGCGGATGAGATTCATCTCGCTCGCGACAGGAGCCGAGTGAACGCAATAATAAACCTTTGGGTTCTATAAAAAGCGAGAAATTTCTAGACCAATCATGTGACTATCAGCTTCTCAAGAACGACTCTGCTTCGTTAAGTTAGGTACGGAATGTACTGAAGCACTTTTTAATTTTCTTCCGACCATTTCTTCCAATCGTTCAACAAAAATATTCCCAAGTTCAATAGTCGAACCGCAGAGCAGCGTGGCCGATACAACATGGCACTGGTATGACACACGTGAGATGTAGTCTTCATGTAGGCTACCATTTATATTTAATTATCTTCTCTTGAGAATCTTTAGTCGCACGTTCACCGGCACTACGTCGATTATCTTCTCTTGAGAATCTTTAGTCGCACGTTCGCCGGCACTACGTCGATATCCAGATATCATCCATAGATTTGTCTGTAAGTTCATCCGATGAAAGGGCATGAAGCGTTTTGAGAGTCTCCAAATAAAACGTTAATTCGGACGTCACGATCCTGTAAACAAATAATTTGTTTGCTATTAGTTGTTTCGTCTTCTGCTTCCAACTTCAGCGCTGAAGATGGAAGCAGCCTCTTACTCCAAAACATTGGTACAAAGACCAACGACACAGAAAAACACTAACTATACTCACATCACAGCGAAATAAAATCCAAGTTTGTCTGCTCAAATGAATTTGGTAAACGCGGTAAATGCAGAGGGATATTTTTCTTTTGTGAGACAATACCTGGGTTGTGATGTACAGAACTAAGAAATTTATGAAGTTATCAGGAAAAAACACAGTGAACCCCCGACTCACCAAGCGGTAAAACAGTGACGTGTTTTCAGACGAATCGTACTCGATCTGTCTCACATCGTACAATACAGTCTACAAATGTAATGATTGAAGCTTGAAGCGATGTGTTTATTTACTTACTTTACTGAAGTCAAAAAGATGTCAATCATCCACACAGAAAATACATAATTAAAAACATGGATAAAAATTGTCCTTCAGTACCAACTACAAATTATTGACCATTGCAGCTGAGTGGTTAGGGCTCCTGCTTCATATTCGGGAGCTCCCGCGTTCAAATCTCGGCCTGACTGGAAGATTTCCTAGGTCCCTCCAGGTAAATTCTAAGACGAAGATTTCCGTCTTCTGGGTTGTTGCGCCGTGTAGTCTGGTCGATGTTTACCAACGTTTCAGAGGTCATACTGCCTCCGTCATCAGGGCGATGAATATCATATTCATCGCCCTAAGAATTAAATGTGAAAGTGACTCAGATTTGTTGAAAAACAACGTATATTTTTGTCAATAATATATATAAATACCCCTCATGCATCTGTGAGTAATGCCGATTGCTACGCTACATCACACTTCTTTCATTTCGCTCGAACTTACCCGTGTTGTGGTCCACCGTTATTCACCACATTCATTTTCATCAACTGCTCTCTCAGTTTATCCTTGAATGTTGCATTTACTGTCCTATACAGTTCTTGAACTTGAGTCTCTGGCAGAATATTAGAAACCGCTTCATGTAGTTTTGTCAGATGCCTGCGTAACAACAAAATATATAACAAGTGACTGTACTATGTCCCCACTTATTGGTACCTGCACCAACTGTCCAGGCTGGAAAAAAAAAAAAAAAAAAACACAGCACATCAATAATAAACTCTCATCTTGTTTATGACAGAATCCCTGATTCATACCTGGATATGTTACGAAATGCTTGTGATGGAACTGGCGGCCGGGCATCCCACTGACTCATCTGCACAGTTATGAGGTTGCTGATTATGGATAAAACTTTGCTTTCTATCTCGTAAACATGGCTGTTGACGTCCTTCTCTACACCATCGAACTGGTTGATTCCGCCGACGCCGATATTACGATACGGATGCTGCTGTGTCTGATGGTGCGTTTCAAACACCTCTATAAATTATAACAATATATGAAATTACACTATCCTGTTTAATTCAACTCAAAATTATATTCTTCCATACACGAGTTCAGTAATTAATTATCACTCGTTCTCTAGTCACCCTTACCAACTTCTGACGAGTAACAATCAAAAATGGCCGTCTTCCATTTCGGAGGTTCTTCCTGTCACAGTCGTCAGCGTAATGAGTGATGAAAACCTCAAATCTTAGTAACATTCGCCTAGTAATTTTACCATTGACGGACAAAACTGACCTTCATCACTTGCACATCACAGCTTACACGCAGTTTGACTGGACAAGTCATAATTCAAAATTCTTCATGGTATAGTGAATTTAATGCGCTCTTAATTTAAAAATAATTCATCGAGCTCCATAAATTTCAATTAAAATTTAACTACCAACCTTGAAAATGATTTTTGACATGAGGTATCAGCCACAACAAGAGCTGTAGAGCCCTAGAAGCTAACGCCAAGTTTGTTGTGGTAATTGTTTTCAATCCAGCCACATGAATTGCTCCAGCTCCTAGAATTAGCTGGCAACAGCGGGAATTGAACAGTTGTAAAAGCTCTGCCAGGTGGCGACACAAATTGGGCGCCATGACGGTTAGATCTGCCGCACAGACACAGTATTCGGCTACCATCTTCAGCAGCAGGAGGACTGTACTACAAGCAAATTGAATAGAAAATATATGGAGAAAGGAATAATCTCCTTTTTGCAAAAAACAACTTCATAAAAATGAAAATTAATTGAGGACAAACACCAATTGCGGCTAAACATACAAATATACTGGAGTTTACTGCAAAACAGGTTCCTAATAAAAACAAGTTAGAAAATGTATGCATACATTACAATTCTAATGATGGCGACTGAAAACCATGGCAACTGACCAACACAAAATAAAGTTACATTTACATACCAAAACTTTAAACATTAGTTAGACAATCAGTAAGACAGAAATATTATTTCTCTAATTCTTAACTGCAGGCATTAATTTGCTAACACCTATTGCAATTTTAAAAAAAAGTTTAATTTATTACTTTTTTTACAAATATGATACTGAAACATACCCTACAACAGCATACTTCTCTTCTCCAACCATCAACTCATGTGATGGCTTCCTGTCGCCAGCTTCAGGTTCTGTCTCACGTCTTGTAAGTGAAAATTTTCCTGAAAAAAAAAATACAAACATTACATCAATCCCAATACAAAAAAAAACTTTTATTAAACTGAAATGCCATTAGACTGATTTGTTATATACTATTTTATATCCAACATCAACTTTCCAGAGGAAGATACATTGGGATTATGTAATCAAAATGTAATCAAATACTATATTCATCTGAATATTGAGCATAGTAATATCTTATTGTGTCTCAACATATTTATTACACCGTGGAATGGTGATATTTATATTAATTTCCAGCTTCTTGAAATAACAACAAAAATACATTTTTAATTTTTCTTGTCACCAAATAAAAATTAAAATTAAAATCTCAGGCGGGTTGCCTCCATTCTTAGGATTCCTATGAAAATGGGTGCTCTATATAAAAATTTTGATGCTCATGCACTATTACAGACTCAATTTACAGATCAACATTCTTTGTACCAAAAGAACTCTGGTTCTTAAAACAAAAAATCAATAATTAAGCTGAATATTCGATTGCTCCAATCCTAGACGTAATTTAGCAAATTATTTTGTCAACTCTTAAATAATCATCAATTATTTATGATAATTTTCTACACAAAATGTAAAATCACTAACCAGTGTCACTTATATAAGTAACAAGTCGTTGAAATTCTGCTGGAACATCGGCCTGTTTCCATCGTTCGCTGTCTAGGATAAGACTTAATTTGGTCTTTCGATCGTGATGAAAACGCTGCACAAATTTGCTAGCCTGTAACCGACAGAGCCTATATATAATATTTTCAAGCAAGACGAGCAAACGGAATAAAACTGGAAAGCCAACCATGTTACTGCAAGACTCAAGTGATGGTGTGCGTCGCAGTCTGATTAAGACAGCAGATCTGAGAACATGAGAACTTGAGTTCGCAAGATTCACGGCTTCAAGAACATAAATAATATCATTTCCCAAGAAAGCCCATCTTTCACGAGTTCTACAAGAGGTTTAAGAGGCGTGGAACATGTCTAATACCGTAGTAGAAGAGCCCGAAGATTCATTGCGACATTATCTTCCCAACTTTGACTCATTCTTCCAGGTGGATGTTTTTAAAAAGATTTACCCACCAAAATATGTCTCCCCCATCATAGCCACTACCCATTATAAAATAGTGTTCACGTAACACTGAATCAATCAATAACATTTTGAAAAATACAATTGCACACTGAACATTTTTCCCAAATAATTAACTCTGCTTAGTAATAAGTAAGAACATAAGAAAGATTTCGCAAACCTGAACTTTGAAAGCAGATCTAAGGGCTGTGCTGGTTTTACTGCTAACTTTCTCACACTGCTCTGTGAAGGTATCGATGACACGTGCAAGATCACAAATTTGGGATGCTGTTGCCTTATCCACCAACCAGTACGCACCGTGTGACTGCACAACAAAAAGTAGTGTCATCAGCAACATAAATTTGTATTAAAGAAACGTCATACAGTAACAACAGACTGACCATTTAATATTTATAAATTTATGGTTCTCCATAATTTAACATTAAATTTTTGTAGTCGTATCATCTCAGAACAAACTTCTGGAATATCACGACGAGATGCCACAACAGGATGAAACTGAATACGTTGACAAAAGAAGCAGTCTGGGGATACATACAGATTCAATGTCAAATGCCTTTGAATTTTGAATGTCGCATAGTTCCGCACAACTGTCGCACATTATTAATAGCAAACACAAGACTTTATTTTATGCTATGACAGGTTTTCTGTCTTCATTTATTCCTTCCTTCCTTAATTTTTTCCTTCATCCTATGGCTTATTCTATACTTTAATTTATGAAAATTACTGTACTCCATTACAATGTTTTTACAGAATAAAAGCAGTAATTGGCTCTTAGTTGGTTAATGCACAGCATACGTCGCAGTAGCGTATGCTCCGACACCAAGCGCTTGGAAGAATATTACTGAAAGAGACTTCAAGGCACTGAAAATTAATTCTGTATAAGACTGTGGAAAAACAGGTGAAGAAGAACAAATTTCGACGCCACAAAAGCGAAAATTTCCGTAAATAACAACGACGCAGAAGAATCCTAAAAACTTATATAAACATTTAAAAGAGAAAGTAAAATACATACTAAGGTATTTTGTGTTTGCCCTTGCTTCTCTCCACTTCGGACCTCTTTTTGAGAAGTGTTGCTTTTGTCTCGCTGCTCGCTGGCTGGGGCGTGTAATGGCACTGACAGCAGCTGAGCCACACGCTCATGAGCGTAGTCACAGACAGATGTCAGTAAGTCACGTAGCTTTCCTACCACACGTCCATGCTCCTCCAACGAAAGGAAACTATCTGAGGGATCCGAACTGCAAGAAAGAATCTTCTAATTATATCAAACTACAATAACATGAATCTTCTCGCCAGGTGAAATCGCTTTGTGCTCAGGCAAGTGTCACAGTGCGAGATGATGAACCTACAAAGATGTGAATGAATTAGAGTGCTATGAAGTCTTCAGCCTAACCCGTGGGGGCCAAACATGATTTCAGTGGTACCAACACACTGTAATCTCCGTAAAATAAAATACAGATTAAACTTCTTGACTGGAAACCCGGTGATCTTGTAGAACGGCATAAAATTAGTGCCAAGGTCATAGGACACCGCATTCTCAGATAAAACTATGATCACATGACAATATTCTTAGAGAAACATAAATGCGGACGCCAGACACTAACAGCGCCCTAGATTTCTAGACACCAGGTTCTTAGATGACACTAAGTTATTACAAGGAAGCATTTCAAGCTTTTTAAAATTCAAATACGCCGATGTCTCTGTATGATTACCACATATTATTAGAACAGTCGTACTTACACGACAGACATGTGAATTTGTGAAGGGACGTCAATGCCACTTGCCAAGTTCTCACTTGATTCGGGGACTTTCCCCGCACTCACATCCGCAGCTTGCCGCATGACATCATGGACAGCCTGGAATACAATTCAGACCACTAATCTTGTGGTTACACGTGAAAGAGTAAACTGGGTCTTAACTTTGGAACTAACGAATAACCATTTGAAAAAAAAAGAAAATCAATTTTACTAGCAAGTTACCACCTCTTGCACCACAAACAATAAGTTCAGACGCTATAACAAAGATTTAAGCATCATCTGTTACTACAGCATCACTGAAACAGCGTTACTATTGAAGATTGAAGACGTACCGACATACTTGACCACTGAAGACAATGAAGAATTGTCACTGTTGATGAATAAATATTCCCAACTACGCACTTTTGGAACAACGTAAATGCAGTGTAGCAGCTCACATGACAATTGTCAGTGTCGTACGATTATAGAGCATGGTTTTAATGATAACTCAACACTAGTAACTAAAAAAATATATTTTTTGTGATTTGTCCGTCACCAAATTATAACTCGTTTACTCACTTTGAAATTCTGAGGGGAAGAGACTGCTTGGGAGACCTAGACGTAGATGGGAGGATAATGTCAGGCAGGATCTATGGGAGATAGGAGTTGAAGGAGACTAGATTTTGTTGGCCCAGGACAGGGTCCGGTGGAGGGCTTTGGTTAATTCGGTGATGAACCTTCGGGTTCGGTAAGCCATCTAGTTAGTTACTCACTTTGACTCGATGCACAAGACACATCAACGTGGAAGTTGTGTTCTCAAGGAGGTGGAGCCAGTCATGGAGTTCAAGTCCCTGCAGTTGGTCACCCAGTCCAGTAAGAGCCAGTTCAGAGTCTCCCAAGTCACTCGCTGCTATAACCTCTATCACGATCTGTTGAACAAAATTCGTAAGACAAACTAACATATGCCCTGGTTAAAACCTTCAAACCAGCACATTTACGTTATGATGCACATTAAATTAAGTGTGATACCAATGATGATTCATTGAGAGTTGAAAAACACTCTTCCAAACTGACACTGGTTACTTGCTAGTGATACGACAGTGCACTGATGTAACAGATATTGGCACTACTGCTGTGTAAAAAGTGCTGAAACATCAGATAATAATTATATGACGACGACGTACAAGATCCCCAAACTAAGCTGAGTGTTGATTTAAACCAATTCAGAAAATTCAGATTATTCCTTTGAAAGTATATAAGAAACTGGTCCCTTGAATATCGTTATTAACAGATTTTATTACACAGAGAAGAACAATTACCTGCTTAACAACTGCCTTTATTGTTGTGAATGCTTCATCCTTGTAGGTGTCAACGAAATTAAAATGTTTCTGATGCAACATTCCAAATATTATCGACACTAGCTTATCCTGCAAATCGAGAACAAGATCTATGCATTATCATGATTTCGCCAGCACAGAGATAATTGCAAAAGATTCTGTTTCCAGAAAGAAACTAATGTACTTCATAATATTCCAAAGATTATAAAATAAATACAGAAATCTGCAAATTTCACACATATTATATTTTTTTTTCCTTAGACTGTTGTACAAGTACAGTAATTCCATACATATTTACTGGCCAGAAACATTCAATACGTTACCTACCCCTTCCAAAACTTGCTGATCTTCACCCAGCGGCCTGTTGAGATCTGCCGTAGCATAGCGCTCAAATTCTGTACTCAACATTTTGTCTATGAGGTGTTGCATCTCGAGCAGCTGTGAACTCAGATGTCTGCGGAACATACGAAAAATATATATACTAAGTATACCAGTCCAGAACCACTGTAACTGGTAGAATTAAAAATTTGAACTGGCCAGCAAATCACGCGTGAAAGATCCCATGTTAGCAGTATCTGCTAGTGGTGCAGGTGGTTACGAAATAAATAAAATATTTCTTCTTAAACATCTCTGTATTTGAAAGATGTGAGAAAGTGGCATAATCCGCAGAGATTTACCTGAAGCTGTGAACTCCTGCGAGCTCTTGTACCAGGATCTCCTGAGTCGTGGAAATGAGGTCCAGAGCTGCTACGTAGTCAGGTGTAGACAACAGTAACTGGATCATTGGTTGTGTCTGGTGCACTGTTGACATTAGTTTGATCTGGAAAAAAATTGATGGATCATTAACACTCTGACACAGATGCTTGTCTAAATATTTAATAATTCACAAACTCAACGCTTTATCAGTACGAAGATCAACTGGCTAATTCTGCTTAAGAAAGCAATCACTATATGAGAGCCAAAGCCGACTACTTTGACTGCTGGCCTCACGTTCACATGCCTAAGCAGAGGTGAACGATCATCCAATCAGATATAGGGTGACGTGTGGTCAGCACGACGAACCCCCAGCCATTGCTAGCTTTCCTGACCGGATTACGCTACTCATTGTAGCTCCCCAATTTCCTCACGATGCTGGGTTGGCACCGGTCCCATACACTGGTCGAAAGCTCATGAGAAATTTCTTTCCTCGAGACTCGAACCAGCGCGCATTCCGTATCACCGGTCCGAAGCATGATGCCTCAGACCGTGTGGCTACGGCACAGGACGAAAGCAATCACTATCAACTCCGAAAATCATATAAAATGTATAATACACCTTGTCGGAAAAATGCAGTCACTGAATGGTACATATAGTTATCACTGGTATTCAAAGGATTAATAATAAATTCTGATCATGTATGTATACTAATTGGAATATCATAAATCATAAATATTATCTTTATGAATATTTCTTGTGAACAAGCTTCGTTATTACACACAACTTACCTTATCATAAACTGAAAGATGGTTACAGCGTTTTCTCTCCAACCTTAAAATATCTAACGAGTCTTTTACTAATGAATTATCAATATGGTGAATCTTTTCTCTGAAACATAAAAATGTAAAATTAATAGTCTCTTAGTATTCATAAAACATGCCAAAACTATTATGAAAGGAAGATAGTGCCTGATGTTGACACAAAATTGGATCAAAAAGATTATCAATTTCTACTTCCTTTCACGCTTCGAAAAATTAAGGTCACGAAATATTTAAATCCAAAATTAAATCAATAAATAACATTCAGAATACCTTGAAATATTATCAGTTTATCAAGAACCCATTACGAAACAAAGATACATCTCGTGTACGATCCTGCAGCCCATTCAAGGGTCACCTGCCACATTACTATTTAATGTGTCCTAATCATAAATGTTGAGAGATGACTCACGTCAATGAAGTAATAGAATTACTTTTTATTTTTGGTATAATTTAATTTTAATATCTTTATGTAAATTGACGGCCAATATAAAACCACAACAACCAAAGATTTCACAGACTTTAGCTACATCTCTGCTATTTTTACAGATGTATCTACTATGTGTAGTCAAGGAACCAATCACTCTCGTTAGAGAAATGACAACACTGCATTTTTAAAGTTTGAATAGCATTTTTTGCGTCGGGCACATTTTTGATATAAAGTGAGCAAACAAAAATTCTGTTA